GATGCGTTGAATGATGTAGCGGGAGGCGGGGGGGGGGGGGTGTATATTTGGCAGGAAGGGAACATTTTGTTCCTGAAGTTGATGTGTTGGAAGCAGAAATAATGGACAAGTGTGAGGATTTGAGGGATTTCGACAAGAACCAAACTGTGATGTCTAGATGACTGGGTCAGAGCAACTCCAAAACCTCAGCTCTTGTGGGATGTTCCCGGTCTGCAGCCTATAAGTACCAAAAGTGGTCCAAGAAAGGAAAACCGGTGAACCAGCAACAGGGTTATGGCTGGCCAAGGCTCATTGAGAGCAAAGTCTGGCCCGTGTAGTCCGATCCAATAGAAGAGCTACTGGAGTTCGGATTGCTGTAAAAGCTAATGCTGGTTCTGATCGAAAGATGTCTGAACACAGTGCTGTGTAGCTGCAGACCAGTCGTGCCCATGCTGACCCGTGTCCACAGCTGATCCATGGAGGCCCCACCTTGCAACTTTCAGGCCTTAGGAAAGGATCTGCTACTGATGGCTTGGTGCCAGATACCACAGAGGGGTGGTCATAGTACAATGAGTGTTGTCACTCTAGGACAGGAAGTGTGTTACTGGCAGGATCACCAGGTGGAAATGAGGACCGCAATATATCACATTTCGGTTTTTGGGTTTAGATTCGCTTTCTTTTTCTTTGTCTTTTTTTTTTTCTGTATTTTTGTGTTTTGTAAATCCAATTTACAATCCAACATTTTGGAGAACTGCAACAATCCAGTGTATTTGTGCGCATTTATTTTCTTACATGCATCAGACTTTGCATCCTGATTCCTCACGTCACCTATTGTCACGTTCATGTATGCTGTGTAAAAGCGGCAACACATCCAAATTAATAGGCTGACGATGCACCAAGATATCGAAGAAAAAGGGCCTGCAGAATACTACATTGTGTGGTAGTCTGTTATTGTGTTGCATTAGTGCTTTGGGGTGCAGTTAAAAATGAATGGCACCACAACGCATACCTAACTTGTGTAAAAGTGCATTTCCGCACCACACTGGGGCAGGGAAGTGTGTTTGGCCCTAACTGTGTCCCTTCTCAAGCGAAGTGGGTGGAGATGACTTGTAACCAGCTCTAGGAGTTTTATGTTAGTGTAGCACCCAGTTTTATACCCACAATATGAATATATGTATCTGCCTTCTTGTTCCATAAATACAGATGTCTATATAGATGTATTTTTTCCTTTGCTGTCAGTGGGAATGCAGAATTTCTGGTTACCAGAAACTTCCTGCTGGCTTATGGATTACTTTGCATTAAAGGAGTTGTAAATTCCCGGCATACGCTGTCCTGTTATAACATCAGTAGGGCTGCAGCTGATTATTTCATAATTGATTAGTTAGCTGAAGATTTTTTTAGCCGAATCTGATAAAAATGTATTTAAATTTGTAATTAATAATATTATTTAATAGAAAGATCATATTCATTCCTTCTGCACAGCTCTCATCCCTGGCATATGTCACAGATGGAACTTGTGCAGGAAGGAAAACATTAGCAGGCGGACTTCTCTCCTGGACTCCTCTCACCTGTCCGCACCAGAACATGTGGTAAGCAATGCCTGCGTTCTGGTGAGATCGCAAAAAATAGTGAATGGCACTGCCATGCACCCTCCCACCCTAGAACGCAGGGAGGCTCCCTCTATGCAATCCAGTGTGTTCCAACCACTAACCGTGCTGGAACGCACTGTAGATGGTGTGAATGGGCCCTAAATGTGTTCGCTGCCTGGCCAACGCCCCACTCCCCCATCTTTGTGCCAGTCTTCCCACCCTGCCCCGTTGTTTATGCCACTGACTCCACTCACTGCACCCGCACACGGTACACATGCAATGCGTAATACGCACGCAGCGCACATACAACACATAACACACACGGCACACATACAACACATAGTACACACTACTTACACTTGTACATCTCTGTTCAGCCCATCCAAAGTCCACTATGAGCAGCCTGGAGAGAAGGAGGGTGAGACATGGGGGAGGCCGCGGTTCCCGAAATGGGAACAGCCCCTGCTCCCGGGACTCCGGGTGACGCCAGAATGGCCCTATTCATCCTGCGGGTCCTCAGGCAGTGCCCTAACAGTCAGTTTCTACAAGCATGCGAGGGATGGTGCAAGCAGCCCAACTAAATGAGCGACCAACTAATCAGTAATGAAAATCGTTAACAATTTTCATTATCGACTTTATTGATTAGTTGTTTCAGCCCTAAACATCAGCATAATAGGAATGCATACTAGAGTTTTTGATGATGCAATCAAAGCTTATCCCTTTTATCTGGTGAGTGCTGCCTTCGGTCTGTCCATCACTTTTATCAACTTCCTGGGTTCCCAGTTTTGTAAATTTACAGCCCGCCTGATTGTCTCCTATGTGCCTGTTTTTTGTTCAGATTTCCTTCTGATTTGATTGACTTTCTCTGTACAAATTTCAGAGTTTGAAATCTCTTTGTCACTTCAGACTCTCCGCAGATGCTACAGTCGCGTAAAAGAGCGTGGCGTTGGGAAAAGGAAAAGCAGCTACACCTTTGAGCAACTAGAACGAGTGTTTGGTCAGGGAGGATGGGACACACAGCCATGCCAACCAGTGCTAATAAACAGCAGCGGATTGTATCAGGAGATGGAGTCTGACGGCAGCACCATGGAGGACTATTCCCAGGAGGACTGGGCCAACCACAGCCAAGAGATCCAGGGCTTCCCGGGGGAGGAGCTGGGTAAGATGCGAGTCTCTATACAAATATCACTAGAATGTTCTCTTTTGTTGGGGTTTTTGCATAGTCCACTGGGGCTCACTGGCGTGCCTTCGTGCACATTGGTTTGTGTCTAACCCACATGAAAACCCTTTTAACAGTCATCACATGGCAATGTGGTCCCAAACTATGGCCATCCTGCCGTGCGACCTTATAAAACTGTTTATGCTCAAACTGACTATATAGCAATAAATTGCCCTTAGAAAGGGGCATAGCATAGATAACATCAAATGGTATAAAACATTCTCACACTTGCACAGGAGTAGAAAAGTCTAACATTTCACACTTGGCACCTGCGCCATTCCGCAATGCTGGCGAGCTGCATGCACGACCAGAGCTGAAATGCGAAGTCTTCAGTGGAGTCAATGAGGTCGTGGAGGAGATTGGGAAGAGGCCCGAACAGCCAGGTGAGAAGTTACCAGGTGAATCCCGCTCTTAATTCTCTGATAAAAGGGGTGCAGTAAATGTTCAGTCGGTGTCAGATTCACTGCTTTTTAACTATACCCCGCTCTGTTTATGTCTATCCTAATCTACAGTCCTGCGTATCTTGCAATTATTTTTTATTTTTTGCTTTAGTATATATTTCTTATTTACAAACATAAAAGTATTCAGTGTTGTGCAAGTAAAAATAAACATTGAGACTTTGTCATAAGATGGTTGGCAAAATGTATTGATGTAAATTAGGAAATTAAAGATTAATTTCTCGATTAATTGTTAAACTTTTTGATCGATTCAAATTATTTTGAATAATGAAAACACTCACCTCTCCGCCGGCCTCCAGGAGTCCTGTCGGCGATCCGGTGACGTCACAGACATCGACGTCACCGGACTCCCCCCCCCTTCCCTTGTTAGCCGACGGAGCCACTTGGGGAAGGGGGGAGGAGTCCGGTGACGTTGATGATTTAATCATTACCAGCCCTAATGTAAATGTTTTCTGCAGAAGAATAGGACAGTGTTTTCCCATAGCCGTTGCTTTTAGGGTGATTTAGTTGGGTTCCCCATAACCATTGCTTGTTGGGTGATTGGTTGGGTTTTCCAGTAGCCATTGGTTGGGTTTTCCATTGGCCATTGCTTGTTGGCTGATTGGTTGGGTTTTCCATTAGCCATTGCTTGTTGGCTGATTGGTTGGATTTTCCATTAGCCATTGCTTGTAGGGTGTTCGGTTGGGTTTTCCAGTAGCCATTGGTTGGGTTTTCCAGTAGCCATTGCTTGTAGGGTGTTCGGTTGGGTTTCTCAGTAAGTATCAGCTGTAGTAGACTATGCCAGATGCAGCAGCGCTGGAAGATAGAGGAGTTTGAAGTCGACGTAAGTATTTACAGTCTTCTATTGCAGGGAGAAATTTAGATTTTCTTTATAGGAATTGACAGTCTCTGTAATAAAGCAAAGAGCTGCATGTGTTTGGCATCCTGTAGAAACCAAACATAAGACCTCTTTGTTCTGAAAACCTTAAAATGACAAAAGATACAATTTGGTAGTTTTTATGGCTTATTGCACTCTGTTTCTCGTCTGTACTCGTTGCACTGATTAATACTTCTGTTATATCCTTTTGTTTGCCTTTTAGGACCATGGGTGGTCCAGAAGCCGCCGGTTCCATGTCCCCTTAATGACGGTACTGTACAGCTTTTCCAAACATAAGCAAAATTTGAATGCCAGTACTTCTGTTGTGGAATTACTACAATATATAATTTCTTCAAAATTAATATTCCATTCATCAGCCAGCTTCTATAAATTAATGTTATCATGTGTAAATGAAATAAAAACAGAACATGAACAGATCATATCCATCTGTGACAACCCCCTTCCTTTTTGATAAAGAGTCAGCACTCCAAGGAGGAGACTTGATAGGTTTCATCAGGGACCGTCCATGCAACGTCCAGAGTCTGGCCATCAGTAGGCTAAGTCCGCTCCTGAGCCAAGCATTCTTGTCGGCACAACACAGGCAAAAACAGATATGAAAAACTTTTTTTTTTCCTCAACAAAGTGCACCATAATGCAGGGTATGTGCTTTGTGTGCACTCTGTGAGCTTCTTACGGTGTACATTAGAAGCTGCAGCAAGTCAGATAGAGCCTGCCTCATTTCCTGGCTGGAGGAGATACAGAATCATCTAGCCCATGGGTGGGCAACTCCCTCCTTCGATCTGTGTTTTAACTACAAATCCCAACATCCAAAAAAGCACAGACCAGCGCCAAGTAGAACCCTCCTCTGGCACAGAAATCATTCTTGTAATCCATCTGGGAGTCATGTCTGTAGCTGTCAATCTCGCAATGCCTCATGTGGCTTGTAGTTCAACAGCTTGAGTGCTGCAGTGGCCCACCCTTGATCTAGCCCTTTCCTCGCCACTAAGGCTGTCCCTGGCACATCCCTTTCATCTATTGCAATTCAGTTATGAAGGCTCAGCATCGCATGTGGATGTTACTTATGGCGGTTTGCATGCACTGCTCCAGAGAGACATCACCCATCAAGGAATTTTGATATTTGCACAACTCCTCCCAAGCCCACAGAGAACCAGTAAAATAAAGTATGTGATGAAGAAAGTTATTTAAGAACATTGTTAGGATGTTGATGAGGAACCAGGGAAGGCAAATGTAAGCAGATTAAACTTCAGCTATAATACTTGCTGAACCCGGCTGCAGCCGATAAAAGTTCAGATTTGGAAGATATTCACAACAGAACAGTTATGGTTCAGAAGAATTTGAAACATCCAGTGTAAGGTGATTTTTGTATTGTTTTTTTTTTTTTTTAATTCTTTTTTTCTTTTTGTCTAGAAGAAATCAGTATTCCAAAGAGACCGCCGAAGAGCAGAGAATCTGCAGAGGAAGTACAGTAAGTAGCTGTAATAAAGTGCCGCGGTATGCATATCTTCTAAAAGTCTTGCAGCAGCACCCCTGTCATCTGTAGAGAAGTCTATGACCCCCGCTCCACCTCTTGCAGCCATCGTGCCTCAGCTCTACATAGTCTCGTTGATCTTCCTCCAAAAAGAACATGCTCGCCAACTCCGCCTCTCGACAATTCAACGCTGCAATCATTTTCTATACTGATTTATAAAGTTGCCTAATGTATAAACCACAAACTTCCCTATCCTAATAATATTGCAAAAATCCTCACCGCTCCGATTCTGCAGCCCAGCTCACGCTGTATTTCCCCCGCATTTGCAGGTTGTAAAGTGTGTGTTCACTATGCATGAACGGAAAGCAAAAGAATAACCGCACTACGCAAGGTGCAAGCGATGAATCCCGTGTTTATTGATGCAAAATCAAGTGTACATCCCAGCAAGCGTCCCAGACCAAAGAGCAAACTCCTTTTAGAGGGGAGCTTGCTGGGATGTACACTTGATTTTGCATCAATAAACACTGGATTATTCTTTGGTTTACGTTCCCCATCATAATAATCGCTGCTTTTTAAATGTCCATGGCTGAGTTCATGCCAGGATAAAATAGAGGTGCAATATTCCTAAGACACAAAGGCCTGGACTGGCAGACCTAGGCACATCCGCATCGCTGGGTTTGCGGTCTCCCAGAAACAGCGAGGGACCCGGATAATGGTCCTAGGTAAGTATAACTTGCTTCACATGGTAAGATGGGTTAGAGGGGGGTGGCAGGGGATAATTATTTTCCTGGAGATGTGCTTTAATATGTGTTTTTTATTTTTTCTTCCCAGGAAAAGAGATATGCTAAAGATTATAATGCACATTTTGGAGTCCGTCCAGTTGAAGTGGGAGCTGTTTCAGAGCTGGACAGATTTTTCGAGGTTGCACCTCTCTAACAAACTGGCGATATTTGGCATCGGCTACAACACGAGGTGGAAGGAGGATATACGGTACCATTACGCAGAGATAAGCTCCCAGGTACCGCTGGGGAAACGACTCCGCGAGTACTTCAACCCCGAGAAGCCGGAGGGGCGGGTGGTGATGACCAGAGTGCAGAAGATGAATTGGAAAAACGTTTATTACAAGTTCTTGGAAATCACCATCAGCGAAGCTCGGTGTCTGGAACTGCACATGGAGACGGATTGGATTCCCATCGCTCACTCCAAGCCCATCGGAGGAGACATCGTCCAGTACCTCTTGCCCGGCGGCATCCCCAAGTGCCCGGGCCTCTACGCCATCGGTTACGAGGAACTGCGGAGTAAGCCCATCTCCGACAACGCGGTGGTGGATTTAGTCAACGACGGGAATTGTGACAGTCCTTCAGAGCCCGAGCCAGTACCTCCAAAAATTAACTATTGCTACCTGGGCATCGCCGAAAGCATCACGTTGCAGCAGTGCTTGTTTTTCCACTTTCAGTCCACCGTCAAGAACCAGAGCAAAGAGTGGGCGAGCATCAATGGATTCTTAGCGCAGAACTGCAAGGTGGAGCCGGGCGTCTCCCCAAAAACTATCTACATCAAGTTTGTTGAAGTGGAGAGAGATTTCCTCTCCGCGGGTTCTTTAGTAGAGTGCCTGGAAAAAGCCATTGGGTACCCGTTAAAATTCAACAAGTGATTCTTGTCCTTTATAAGGACTTGGGGCTTCTACGGACACGTATTGCATTTTTCTGCCAGGGTTTTGCTGCCGAGCCGTGAATGAATATTGTCTATAGCGGAGAGAACTCGTCTGATGTTTGAACGAATCATCCCCGTACCCAATCCCCCCCTTACCCCCCTTTGACGATCTTTTGTGGCAAGTTAGAGAAGTGTGTGTGAGGGGGGTAAAGGGGGCGGGGAAGGTCGGTCATAAATAGTGTTTTTATAAGAGAATTTTATTGTAGAGCCCTGTTACCAGTTATTGTAAGTACATTCCACATTGGACATAGCTTATACTTTCATTTTTAAAAGGAAATACTGTTCTTTTTTTTTTTTTCACTATTCATTTTTACATATCTATTCAAGATAATCCATTTTTTTTTTTTTTTACCCATTAAGTGTTTTTACTATTTCCAGCCAGTGTTGCCTGCAAAGACTTTTTATTGTCTTCGTTTTTTTTTTTCTTCCCGTGACGTACTGTATTAACTTTTAGCCGTCTTGCCATATCCTTTTTTTTTAAAAATAACGTTAAAGTACTGAATTTTGTATTTTTTGGTAGTTGACATTTTATGGCATTATGAACAGCCCACGTTTTAGACTAAAGCCGGTTATTTTTCCTTACATGATGTGTAATCCGAACGACGTGACCTGAACCCGTCGGTTTTTTTAATTGGTTAACCAGAAGCCAAATTTTTGGTCAGCTGCTTTTATGAACTGGAGCGTGCCACATACCACTTGTTTTTAGCAAAAGACCCCAAAAATTTACATTTTTTGCAGCTTGCGCACACGGGCGTCTTCTCCATCTGACCTCTGCCGTGTTCTAGCAGGGAGACGCGGTGCAGAATTAAGCTTTTAAACAATATTAATTTAACGTAGGAATGGATTTTTTGAGTCTCTGACCCCCAAGCTGAAATGGAAATAAAGCACCATCGATGAGCGTGACCTGCCACCGTTCTCTATGGTCTGTTTCCGATTCAGCCAGGTGCTATGGGGAACGTCAATCTGCGTTTTTTGTTTCTTTGGGTTTTTTTTTTAAGGAACCTTCAACTCTTATTTCATGTTTTGCCTTTTTAGATCCATATTAATAGCTACACTTTTATTTTTTTTCTTTATCTTGCTCTCTCATATTTTTTTAAGATGACCGCTGCTGTATCACTCACCAGACTTTCGGTCAGAGGCGGGGGGGTGGGGGGGACCACGCACTGTGGCACATTACATGATTATAGCGAAACAAGCCGTCGCTACAAGAGCTGCACTGCAGTTTACAAAGGAGGCTACTTGTGTTGGCACTTTGCATACAGCTATAGTCCCGGGAGCGCCCACGTAAGGGTGGCTACGCTGCACTCCAGGGAGACCCTGCAAGGCAATGTTGCCACCGTATAGGTGTAATAACTGTTCATAGGAAGATCGTTTTTCAGAAACGAGGGCATTAAAGGGTTAATTTTATCAACCCTTGCAGTAGGGCTACCCCCACACTGCAAGGGTTAACTGCTCTTTTTGCCTAGGGTAAAAAAATAAAGTTATACTCGCCCAATCCTCATGACGGCTGGCTTTTAGGCAGGTCCCTGGGACTCGCTCCCTCTCCTCTGCTGAGATCTAAGGATCCTCTGGTTATCCAATACAGTGTATACGATGTGAGG